GATGATGTTAATTAAGTTAAGCTGTGTGTAATTAGTTGGGTATATATACCTCTGCTGTCCCATAATAAAGCGGCTCCCGCTGTTTCAACCTTCACAAGTTGCTTGTCACCCCACCCCCGTTATTTTGCCCAGCCAGTTGTGCCCATTGCGGCACAACTTAAATTTGAGACTAAGAATAATAATAATAATAATAATAATAATAACAATTATTATTATTACCACCAAGTAAATAGAGAGAAATATGAATATACAGAGAATAAGAAATTGAGAAATAAATCTGTTTTCTATCTTTTGGGTTTTAGATGATAAGAAATCCAAGTGGACTATCTATTAAGATAACCAAAGATACTGGGCTGGACATGACCTAAGAGTCCTTTGTTAATGTTTCTACTCTGTACTCTCCCCTGTAATGGCCTCCTGCTTCCATGTTTGCCCATCTTCCCACTGGCTCTTTTCAAGCTACTAGACAGAGCAAATCTTTTAAATGTAATCAGATCATATCACTATTTTGCTTAAAACATTCTTAAGGCTCCCCATTCACTAAGGGTAAAATCTCAAATCCTTATAATGGTTTCAAATTTCTTACTGCACTACCACCCCCATTCCCCTTGTTCCCTCCTAAAAGCCTCCTACTCTTCCCCCTTATTCATTCATTCCACCCACAATGACCCCTTGCCACTTCTTGAATTTGTCAGGCTTGCTCCCACCCTAGGGCATTTGTCATTACCAGCCCTCTGTGCCTTGAAAATTTTTAGCGGATTAACTCTTTTGCCTCTTTCAAGAATGTTCAAATCCCATATTCCTGATGAGACCCCCCCAACCCTGACCATACTACTAAAAACAGTGATCCTCACCCTCATCTAGTACTCCTGATTCCACTTGCCAATTCTTTACCAGAGGTCATTTCACCTTCTAGGCTGTGATGTAATTTACTTATGTGTATTGTTTCTGTCTCCTCTACTAATACAATGCAAGCAAAGGCTGAGATTTTGCTCATGAAAGTACCCCATGCATAAAAGAATGCCCCCAAAGCAAGTAGAAATATCAATTTTTTGAATTACAAACTGCTACAAGGGCAGCAAAGAAAAAAAAAAAACAACACTGAGAGCAAAAGAAGTCTCTGCCTTTCTATATTAGTTTTTACCCTGCCCAGTTCTTCCAATATTTCCTAACTCAGGAAGGTCTCACCATCTATCCAAGATGCTCATGCCAAAAGAGACTGGAAACCATTCTAAATCTCATTCTTCAAAGTCTCCCAAAGCCATCTCATCACCAAAAGCTGTTGAAATTGCCTGTTATCTCTAGAACAAGCAATTTTCTACTCCCATTGCACCAGTTCAAAATTTCTTCATCTTCAAACAAGAGTATAACATCCATGAAAGAGCTTGCACTATTTAATTTTTTTAGATAGATATGATAGAATATAAAAGGCACAAAAAAAGCAAAACAAAGAATAGGATGCTTGAAAACTAGAAAAATAAATTTGATCTTTGCTTTCTTTACTCCTATTTATACACGCTTACTCACATACATCAAGGTCCACTCCAAATATCTCTACTTTTGAAGACTTTCTCAGTTCTCTCAATTACTTGTTTTCCTCTCTGTACATAACTCCATTTGAGCACTTATCATAGCCATTTTTTCCCCCACATATTGGTTACCCCACTGGACAGAAGTCTGATCCTATTCTATCACAGAGCCTGGTACAAAAATGTGTTGAACAGACGAATGAACACTTTTTGTCTAGAATTGACAGTTTTTTTCTTTCTTATTTTTTTAAGGAAGCTTTAGTCCTTTTTGCTCTCACTGCCACCACCACTGCCCACCTGCTTCTGTGGTTCCTTTGTTCAAAATTGACAGTTACAAAGAAGAAAATCTAAGTTTCAATAAAAATAGGGATGCTAAAGACAGAAAAAATAAAAATTATGTACATAGTTACCAATATATAGTAGCCATAATGGGCTGGGATTGTGGTTCAGCAGTAGTGAGCTTGCCTAGCACATGCGAGACCCTGGGTTGGATCCTCAGCACCACATAAAATAAATAAATAAAATAAAGGTATTCTGTCCAACTGAAAATAAAAAATAAATATTAAAAAAATAGTAGACATAAATATCAAGCTGAATACCAAAGGTGGGGAGAAGAAATAAAGCAGAAACACACAAGGCATTTCTACAGAGACATAGGCAATAAAATAGAGATCCCCATGTAATATTTAACAGAGAAATAGATCTTCTGTATTTCTCAGAGAAATGCAGAGATGAAATACCTAACTCAAAAGAGCCCATAAAAATAAAACATTCTCTCAGATAGCAATACTCAACTAGAAACAAATTAATTTTGATTCATAAAATGTTAATGATAAGCAGATTGCTTCAATTAAGCATTATAACGCATAGCACCAGTCCCATACTTCCACCTCCCCAAGATACTCAAATATGTAGCATTAAACCATTAGAAAAATGGGTCTTAAGGAAGCCTTTTAAAAACAAGTAAAATTACATTAACAGAAGGAATAAAATTATTAAAATTAAAGCTCTAAACATATTGAACTCAAATGAGGTTTTAAGTTTTCTTACAAAATTCTACATTTTGTAGGCCTGGTTACTATTAAAAAAAAAATTTAAAAGCCTAAAAAAGCAATGTTTTATAATAAGCAGGTACAATTCTAGGCTTGATGAAAAATGCAAAAGTATTTAAAAATGCTGCTTACTTCATTTATATTTCGATGTAAAATAAACAGCTTACTCTAAAATGGCTTAGTCACTTATACTTTGGCAGGTTCACGACCAATCAAAGCAATGTTAAAGTCGAAGCTCAATAGTTTTCTGGGTCACAGACCCTTCTGAGGCTCCACTGAAAGCTACAGTCCTGTACTATAGAAAAGGATGTATACATACAACATACATCTTGTATTTTAAATGTGCATGCAGCTGCAGAGCCCCTGCAGTCTATTTATGACTTTCTAGAGATTGTAGGAACTGCTGCTGTAATGACTAGATAGCAAACATGTCAGACTCCACAGAGAAGGAGATAAACTGTTAACTCTGGAGCTTTTTCTGTGTCATCCAGGCAACTGAAAAACTTGAATATAAATATCCCTACTCACTGAATTTTATAAAATGATAGATACAAATATGGAGTCAAAATGTCTACATATGCTTTAAAAAGATAACTTGAAAGTTTTTAAATAAAAGGTAATATCAATATTAGTAATAGAAATAGCTAATATTCATTGAGCATTCATTATGTACTAAGCATTGTTCTAAGTATTTTAAATATGCTTATGTTTAAAATAAATATAAATAGTTACTATCCTCATTTCACAACTAAAAGCACATAAAGGTACACAGTCAAGAAACAATGACATGAAAATAGAAATAATTAATGAAGTAGAAAAAAATTCTGATCTACAAAATATTCTACAAAAAATTCTTCAGTTACAAAGCAAGAACATACTGTCCAAACTCCAGAATAAGAATGGCAATCTTGATCATTTTCCATAGTCTGCCAAAATAATTCTTATAAAACCATATTCACTTAGGAATACACTGTAACCAGAAATGAGAACACAAAATGTTCAAAAGGACTACAACTCTAAAGGATTTAAAAGATGAAAACTGAAGATTAATTTTGAGGATAATACATATTAGCTTCCTAAATCATGATCTTTTGTATAAGCACCAGCAATATATCATGCTTTGGAAAAATCAGTCACTTAATAAGACAAAAAAAAAATAACCTTTTTTTACACCTTTTTCTTTTTCTACAAAAGAACTTCAAGTTTGCCTACCTCAAACTTTTATCAAGACTCAGCCTCCTTATTACCATTTTGGTGCCATGCCTCTACTATACCAGGGACAATCACAAAAGAAGAGAACCTCACAAGTTCAACAAGTCTTATTAAATCCCATCAATCAAAAGACAAATTTTAAGCTCCCCTGGAGGTACTATACTATGCCCTGAACAATACAGTATACAAAAAGTAGTTCTAAAATGGCTCAATCTTCTCCAGGTAAAATATGTGTGTTGAAGATATTTTATTTTAACATTTTTTGGTGAAACGAATTCTTTTTCTTTGACCACATGATCTTTTTGTTTTATGCAGCTACTGGTAAAATTCAAGGTAACACAAAAACTTTTGAGGATATTCCTTCTGTAAAACAAGGATGTTCTTAGCATACTATAATTCTTACAGCTTTCTTTGTGATACCTGAGATAAAAATCACAGATTTTTTTTTCCTTTTACATAACCAATAAGTTTGAATTAGGGGTAGGAGAAAATTAGTTCCATTAAATTGAGATGGGATGCTGCTTCAGTAGTAATGTTATGAATTCACTGAAGAATTAAAAAAAAAAAAGAAAGAAACAACGAAAATAGTATCAAGCTAAACACACACAACAAAAATTTCCCTCTATTTAATCCACAACTAAAACAATTGCTCCCAACTGATGCAACTCTTTAAAATACCTCACCACTGTCACACACAATTTAAAAACTAAACATAGAACTTCTTGGAAGACATCAACAATTAAAAGTTAATCTTTTATGTAATAAAAAGACCTTCTTAGTATACAAAGCATAAAAGTACAAAAATTCAGACCAAAATATTCCCTAATATTAACCAAGATTTTTGAAGTATAACTTATACTTGCTGAATGTAAATTTAGCAAAGGTGACCCTATCTTGGCAAACTCAAAAAGTTGTTTCTTTAACATCTTAGAAGGTAGTTTGATGCAACACATTCCTCCATCTACTTTGTGTTGTGTGTTCATATCTCAAATGGAAATTAAACCCTTTTCAAGTAATGGCCAAAATTTCATTAATCACAAGAAAATATAGAACAAAGAACCGCATGACATGAGAAACAGAGCTGACAGAAAGATAGGCGGAATAGCATTGGTAATGACCTTAAAAAAGCAATCAGGAGTATATGTTGAAACAGAAAATCTATATAACTTGTACAGGAATCACATTAGATAATTCCATTCCCACTCACCTGATGAACTCTCAGTAAATACTGTTAAGGTCTGTCCTCCAACACTTTGCAAGACAAATGGATGTTCTCTAGGAGCACTGACTGAAGCTGGTTTTCCACCAATATCATGAATATTTGCAAGATCCTCATTCAAAGTAAATGACACCTAATAGACACATTAACCAGAACGTATTACAATAGACATTTATATTCAAAGTACTTTACAAAAGTTTTGATTATAAATCAAATACTTTTTTTAAAATGTCTTTTTCTAGTCATTTTATTAAACATTTTTTTAAACTCATCAAAAAAATCTCTAATACTTAGTCATAAAAGAGAATCTATTCCCAGGTGTCAGAATGATGGGGCTCATCTATCATTGCAAAGAAAGACAACTTCTAAATATTCTATGGTCTGTAACTGAAGAACCTTTTTCAAAATAGGAATAAAATTACTTTTTCCTAAGATCTCTGAGGTCCGATTATATCTTAATGCCTTTATATCCTTAAGAACTAGCAAAGGACCTGACACAAAAAAGAAAACAATATTTGCTGAATGATTATTTCAAGAATACTAAGAAATCAAAGGTACTTGAAAGGGGAAAAATATGAGCTGTTTACTCTGAAAAGCTTAAACATTCTCATCAACAGTGGTTATATTCTTTTTCAATCTTAATGACCACTGCATGAGTACACAGTACTGCTTTATTTCTGAATATTTTAACAAAACAACTAAATATTTACAAGGGTAACTCAATAACAGGGTTTAGAATTAAAAGAGAGTAGGTGTACTTTCCAAATTATTTTATTATATGTGAGATCCTCTCAAAAGAGCATCAAATTTTGCATTAAAGAGATTTATAAACAATATTGGTCTCCCAATAGCATAAGGGAATCATGAAATATATATTAAATATCTTCTACTGTACCATAGGTACTGTACATGAACTAAACCCAAGGGGTCAAAAATCTAAAGCCCTCAAAAATCTGAGTCAAATGCCTTTGCTATATTGAAGTAATGCTAAAACATTACTGAGTCGTATTCAGTTTAATAGTACTGAGAAAGGGATATTTAAGTCAAACAAGAAAAACGTTGACAACAAACAACTGGAGGAGTCCATTCATTCACACAAGGGTAGCATTTCTAACTTTATATGTTCCTGGTCACCAGCATTCATTTGATTTGATGTGGAGGTTTTTCACAAAGCTAACAGCACCCTCTCTTTACTAATGAAGAGTAAAATACTTCCATGCTTTAAATTTTTTTTCATATAATTAATCTTACCTCAGTCCTTCCTTGATTCCTAAAAGAAAAGAAAAAAATATTTTAAATTATTTAGATTTCATATTGTTTTCAAATATGAGTTAAGAGCTAAAAGAAATAATGCTACTTAATATTTACGTAAAATATTACATTTATAAAGACTAATGTTTACCCTTGGCTTCCCCCAACTATTTATAATCCTATAGGAAAAAACAAAGTTACATTGATCCTACATGATTATTTTAGATATTATGAACTTATATCACATAACACTATTATTACCTGTCCTAATTACATTTTGTCCTAATAAAGATCCTATGATTCTTATCTTTATTTCTGAACATTTTCAGTTTCAGCAGCATGTGAATGTATATTTAATACCTGATCTAAATAGTATTTCATCAAATTTTACTATTTACTTCGTCTATGTGAAAAGGTTTCACTTAACTAAAGTCTTAATGATCAAAAGTTATTAAATTTAACCATATATTAAAATCATAAGAAATTTTCTCCATTGTAAAAAAATATGGCTATTATAAACACTTTTTTACTACAAACAAACCAAAAAAATGTTTTGAAATAGCCATAATTTCACTGCTAACATCTTAATACAGGTAAAAATCCTTCTACACTATTTCACACATATTTGAATTACCCATTTAAATTTTTTTACAAATATGGAATTAATGTGCATCCTATATAAATAACATAACTTTTTTAAAAATATGTATTTATATGTATTTACTTACTACATGCAAAGTACTGAGGGGAAGGTCTCTGCCCCTGACAGCAAAATACATAAATTTTAATGTTCCCTTAAGAGAGCTATGCTGTATGTGCTAGGATCCGATGGGAGAATACAATTTCTTCCATTTTAAGACTTAAGGGATGGCTCAACAAAGAGGCAGATCTGAGCTGATCCTTGAAACACTAAGACTGCAATAATGGAGATGGGAAAATACTGTTTCAGAAGTGAATAGCTCAGCCAAGTCACAGAAAGATCTCATCACAAATAAGTAATCAGATTTGGCTGGTAAAGAGGCAATATAAAGAATGGTGGGTCTGGGGGAATAACTCAGTGTTGTAGCACATTGTTTCCCCCATGCACGAGAGCCTGGGTTCAATCTCCAACACACACATACACAAAAAGAAAAAATGAGAGGCATAGTGAGAGATGAACGGAAGTTAAATCATGGAATATCTTAAATATCATAGTCCAAAGCATGAACTTAATTCTTTGGGCAATGAAGATCCACAGACACTGTTCAAACAAATGAATAAAGGTCAAAAATACTCCAGAAAACTTGCACCAGAAAACGTGTAGGATAGACTAAAGGTGACTAGAGATATGAAGACCAGTTTCTCCACTCAACTTAATTCCAATCTGCCTTTATTCAGTCGCTTAATCATTCATTCTGTCATTACAAGTCTACTATACAATCCTCTAGGCATTGTTGTAGGAGCCTGGTATAGTATGACTATAGGACCTTGTCCTCAGTAAGTTCCAGTATAATAAAAATAGTCAGGTCCAATCCATAAACAACTACAAATAAGGCAATTCATATCTTGTCAAAATGATAAAGCATTATGGCAGAAGTAAAACACACTGTCAAGGAAATGCAGACTAGAAAGCCAAGAAAAGATGAATCTGAGTGCAGGGTGAGATCAACACCATGGGAGCATTCCAGGCTACAGGAACAGCCCACAAGGGCAAGTAAACATCCGAAATGACAAAGTAACACATTCTTTCTGGCACCAGAATGGAAGGCTGGGTTCAAGCAGTCAAGTCTTTTAGACCAGACTAAGCAGTCCAGTTTCTTATACAGATTTATTTAGTATAGGTTTCTCAGTCTTTCACTGCATATTAAAAGGCAGTGTTCATCTTCTCTTAGTTGAGAAAGTATCTAGAATAGAGATGAGAAGATACTAAGAGTTGACATAAAAATGTGAATTCCAGCTTCTCTTACAAGACTGCAAGATTTGACAACCGGCCCCCAATTCCACTTGACAACAATCCTCTAGACATGTGTTTGAGAAAGGCACTAAATCCACCAGTCTCTTCCCTGTCACTCCTGAACTTGGCTTCTAGAGGCATTTAATTTAGTTGCCTTTAAAACAGAAATGCTGTGTACAAAGCAAAGGCAAAGTTGCAAAATGTGCTCTCAAAATGTTTACTGAATATGGAGGCAAATACAAAAATCTACATTAAAAGGAATGAAGGCTTGAATCAGGTAGCTATAAAATGCAAGAAACTTCATGATGGGTCATTAAACTTTTAGAACAGCTTACAAAACTGACAGAAGAGAAAATGACTGGAAGTGGGCAGCAAAGGAAAAAAGATGAATTAAAGATCATGTTGACATTTCCAATCTGGATAACTAGAAAATCATCCAGATGCAATTAGGGAACACAGGAGGGGAGAATAACTTCATTTTCACATATGTAATTATAGCCTAGCTGGAATGATAAAGACATTGATGAGCTCTGGATGAGTTAAATTTCTAGGGAAAGTTAATCCTTTAAGACTTAAAACTTATTTGAAAAGGAAGATACATATCCCCTTGCTCGCATGCATACATGTACAAAATTACACACAATCTTTTGTTGTTCTACATTACAAATATAATACACCCTGTGCACCATGGCCTGTGGTCTAACTGACAAACATCAACTATTATAACATTTCCCCTTTTGCTATTCTTAGTTCATCTGTCAACACTCAACAGCTACTTCTTTGGATTCCAGTCTCATACCTCTTTCTTTTTAAAAAATTATAAATAGTCATGTCTTTCTTTTTTCTTACACTTTTAAGCACTTCTTGGATCTAACACCAATGGAGTCATGAGTTTTTTTTTTTTACTATCACTGATAATAAAGCATCATCCCTTCTCAGTTAAGAAAACCAACCAAAGTTGAGAATGTAGCTCAGTGGTACAGAACTTGCCTACTAGGTGTGAGGCCCTGGGGTTTCATCCTCAGTACCACCAAAAATAAATAAATAAATAAGAAAGAAAGAAAGAAAAAGAAAACCAACCATACATCAAGTTTTCAATTTGCTTAAGGATTTTTGTTGTTTGTTTTGTTTTTAATCCTTATTAATACCTCTGCTTCCAATTTAGGTAAAAAACCATGAGGTGAAATCAAGCAAGTATCTGCAGAGAAGGTTGGGCAATAGTCACAGCGTAAGCTGGGTAAAGAGGATGTCCCTGGATTGAGGAAACAGCCTGAGGCAAGGTACCAAAACCAAGATGGATAAGGAGTGGCTCTTCTGAGCCTAATAAGTAGGAGATGGAATGGAAGCCTGAGTGAGTGAAGCGGTCAGCAAAGATGGGAGCCAAATCAGGGAGCTACAGCCCAAGCAGAGTGAGAAGGGTATTCAAGGGCATCCCACATGCGGTGGGACAGGCAGGGACTACACAAATAAGAACAGAAGCCTAATAAACAAGTAAATATATTAAAGATAACTAGAACCAGGGTTTTCACTTTTAGAAAAGAAAGACAAACAAGAAAAGGGAAAAAAAAACTGGAACATATCCTATAGTGTTGGACAGGAACCAGATAACGGTATGAGGTCATGATTTTCAATATATGTAGATATATAGATGTAAAGGGGTGTGTTTTTGTGTGTGTGTGTGTGTGTGTGTGAGCGTGCGCGCGGGTATATACATGAATGTTGCTCACAGAGAGGCCTGAGAACACAATGAACACCTGGGATATCCAGATCTTGTTTTCTAAATCATTCTCTTCTAAAAGGAACTGGGGCTTCTTATAGAAATGGCTGATCCAGAGACCAAACCAGTAAAATATGAGTCTAAAACATCTTTCTATGTCAAAAAGTAAGAAGTATTCAAAGAATAATGAGGACATGCCAAAAGGTCACAAGACTTATACTACTAAGGCAAGAAGATCTCAAGTTCAAAGCCAGCCTGGGCAACTTCACAAGACTCTGTCTCAAAATAAAAAATAAGAATGGCTGGGGATAGAATAAGAAGGGGATAAGAATGGCTCAGAGGTAGAGCACTTGACTAGTATGTGCAAGACTCTGGGTTCAATTCCCAGTACCGTAAAAAATTTAAATTAAATTAAAAATAGAAATAAAGGGACATGGAAGCCATCTAGAAGAAGTTTCCACTGGCTAAATTTTGGACAATATGAACATCAGAATAAATGAAATGGCAAATTGTGACCCACTGAATAAAATCAGAATCCATGAGTTCATACTAAAATAAATGGATAAGTTTGAAAATTTTGTAATATTTATAGTACCACCCCACAGAATATGCAATGATTACAAAGATGAAAAGAATAAATAAATTTACAGTGAAGCATAGCATGATCAAAGTTAACACCGCCAGTAATGGGAAAAAATGAAAACATGCAAACTTTGCTAGAATACAAGAACCCAGATTCACCTTTGTTTTTGTTTTGTTTTGTTTTTTAAAAAGAGAGAGAGAGAGAATTTTAATATTTATTTATTAGTTTTCGGCGGACACAACATCTTTGTATGTGGTGCTGAGGATCGAACCCGGGCCGCAAGTATGCCAGGTGAGCGCGCTACCGCTTGAGCCACATCCCCAGCCCTCACCTTTGTTATAATCCTGCCAAGGACACATAACTCAAATCTAATCACAAAAATACATAAGAGAAGCTGAAATTTTATAAAATAACTGCCTTGTAAACGACAACTGCATTGACACCTATAAATTGAAAAGTCAAGGAAAAACTTCAGAATGTTGTAGATTGAGTGAAGCAAAGTGCAAACACATAGCAACAGAATGCAACCTCATTCTACCCTGGATCTTTTTGTTATCAAACAATATTAAGACAATTGGAAAACCTTGATTGAAGTCTAAGGATTAAGTAGTAGTACTTTTTTATGTTAATTTACTGATTTGAAGAGGTAAATTGTGATTACATGGGAGAACATCATTGGAGGAAATACATATTAAAATACTAGAGGGTGGCAGGGAATGAGGTCAGTACCTTATTCTAAAATGATCCAGCAAAAAAGACCTTTAAAATATTCCTCGAACATTTCTA